AATTTGCGTTGGTTGCACCACACAACATAAGTGACGACTGCCTCCAAGTAAATCTGATTACTATTAGTTAATAAAGCTGATAGTTGGTAAATGCTAGTTGTAATTGACAACTGATAGCTGAAAACAATTCCATTCTGTGAAGACATTCGTCACTTGTGTTGTGTGGTCTGCATCGACACGTTTATGGTCCTTAGAAGCGGAGTGAAACCTGTTGATGGAACATTAGAATGATAAAGGTACCACATTTCTTGTGGGATCTTCTCAAACCCCAAGGAAACTGTTTTGAAAAGCGCTTCACACCTGAAAGACTTCCTTTGCAAGTAAAATGGAACATTCTCAATAAGCGCTGGGTGTCCCCCAAGAGGCCCGTCGCGCGGCGAAGGAAGAGACGCAGATGCGGCAAAGGACGAGTCGCAGCGCGTGCTGTGCGATATGAGACGTAGTATGGTACACTCTATTTAACCTGACGCCTAACCGCTACAGTATGCGCTGCGACTCGTCCTTTGCCGCGTCTGCGTCTCTTCCTTCGCCGCGCGACGGGCCTCTTGGGGGACACCCAAGCAAGCAAGTAATTACCTGCTTGCATCCTCGATCTTATGTTGGATGTTTCATTTCAGGAAGATCGACGGTCTGCGGCAGAGAATAGCAGGGAAGTCGATTCCTCTCGAAAAGTACTGCACGAAAAAGGCGAACCGTTTTGTCACTAAGCGCACGTTGATGTTTGCACATTATGTAAGCCTCTTCATTATATAACTACGAATACCAGCTGTCATAGTCGAGTTCAGGAGTTCATGTATTTTTGGAACGGATTCGACATTGTCGCTGCGAATTCGCAAATCGTTCAAGGCATCCTGGAAGATCTCCAAAATATCTGGCATGCCAGGCAATCCAAAGGTCTGCCATTTCATTAAGTTACCAACGACAGGGTCAATCGTAGCCTTCACACTTTTTCAAAAATTTTGCTGCCCCACCCTTACTGAAATCAGCAATGCGACCCTACTTGTTCGAATAGTGCGAACGGACGGTTGACAATGCCAACGACTGAGACGATTTCATGTTGAATGTTTCCAGCGGATGCAGATGACCGGGCTCTCTACTTCTTTCTTCGAGCAGTATGTCTGCGAATTCTCTATCAACCGACGACTGCCGAAAATTGTCTCCGTGAGGTGATCAAGCTGTAAGTTTTAATGTTTTCAATTGTTTTTTTGAACGCAGCATTTTTCCTTTCTGTAAGAAAGCAGCTAATGGTAAGTGGCCATAACATTTTTCCCAAGACTAAAGGCCCCTCTTCGATAAACCAGGGCCCTCTACGGGTGAATCCCTTGAAAATTTGCAATGCCCTATCTATGTGGGTACTAAGTGGATAAATAAATAAATTAATTAGTTAATGAAAAAAATAAATAAATGAGAACTGCCTTCTTTACCGATCTTCTGCATTAGTCTTTACCTAGGTCGTTAAACTTTTATTTCGTAATGCTACAGCGATAATTTCCTGCACTAGAGATTTTATCGAATTAGAACCGTAAAAGGAATCTTTGCAACATTAGCTACCTAAGAATTAACAGGGCCATGGCGTAACTATTTGTTTTTATCATTTTATTTCAGGACGTAACAGACGTAAGTGAAAACAACCGAAAAGGGAGCGTCAGTGTTGGTGATAACACGCTGCCTGCGCTGGGATATATAGCGGATTTCCGTCGCTCAGCAATGCTAGCCAGAATTTTTTTGATTTGTTTTGCGTGTTAATTGCTGTTTTAGAAACCGACGAGGTGTTTACGAATTATTCACTGAAAGAATACTGGATAACAACAAAAACTCTCGCCCTAGGCGGGACACGGATCGCACTTACTCTTTTCCGAGACAATGCTGTAGAAGTTACGCCACATGCGCTCCTGTTCCGCTTAGCTCATAGTCAGCTGTTCAGGGGATACATTGACCACGGACTTATAAGCACTCCACATGCTTAATGGTAACTAGATGAGTTCGGCAGTTGGCGGTAACCGGGCTCATTCACTTATACGAGGAAGTGCTGGTAAGCTAGTAACACAGTCACGAGGAGCGGAGTTAGGACGAAACGAGCCCCGGTTGCGCGCTTGCTCAGTAGGCAAGAACTCCGGGTTTGAGTCCCACCTGGGGCGAAAGCTTTGTTCATAATCCATGTTCTTGTGAAACCACCAGGTTTAGTTTTATCATCATATTAATTGCTGTGGTGCTGTTGCGGACTCGGTTTGTGCTGGCGAATGCCACTTTCCTGCCATTATGCTCCCCCTGCTCACAATCAGTTGATCCTTTCACTATGAAACAGCTTAGACTATGGGTCACTTTTTGGTATCGGTACATGTGTGAACAGTGTGCGGGGTACACCCAAAGGGATAAGAGGTGGGCAAGTAGTGAGCTAAACGAACGCTAACAAAATTGTTAGAGGCTCAGTAAGCCTGCAGTATCAAGCGTTTCAGTATGACTGATGCGATAACACTCTAGACCACTCATATAACTACCGCTGAGTCCTTGTCCATAGGTGGTGTTGTAGAAGAGCCTGTCAGGGCAGGCGAGTAAAGAGGAGAGAGGGATGCGAAAGCAACCGGCCTAACCCGTGGTTCAAACAACGGATGACGGTTCGATGCATCAACGCTGATTTAGCGGCTGGCGTTTTCATGTCGTGGAAGGCTGAGGACATTCAAAAGCAATGCCACTTACTAGCAGATTGAGACTAGAACCTCACATTAGGGAACGGGAAGGGGAATTCTGGAGGAGGATGTGAGCTTCTCTCGTTATCTGGCGGTCTCCTTGCTCTTGCAACCTAAGTCTATTCGCGGTCAGCTACGCAAGCGGCTTTCAAGCTTAAGCATACGAAAGGAACAAGTGGTCCTGGCTCACGTGGAAGAGATGCATTCGAAAAGCTGGCCAATTATCAGCTCCATTTCGAATCTTAGTCAATAGACAATCCGTACATCTAGCTCTGTTTTTTCTATGAGTAGTAGTTCTATTTCTTCTTCTACTTCTTCTATCTACTTTGTTCTGAGCAAATATACCGAATTTCAGGGAATCAGAACTTACGGACTTCACTCATTTGCCGCCGAATGCCATCTACGAGTTAGCTCTTCTCAGGATCGCTGACGGAGACAGAGAAGAAGCGGAAATCCTTCTAGCCAAAGCTCGTAGCTACAAAGGCTTCCCCCTCGAGAACAAATTGCATTTTCGTATTCATGGTGCCATGGAGAATCTCGGTACTCGAACCCCTATGGTCTAAAAGATCATTACATTAGCTGCTGATCTTCATCTGAGTAACGGGTTGCTGATGGGATGAAGTATCTTGTGATTCGTGTTTCTGTCCCAGGGGTGTCTAGGATTCTTCGGACGTTTAGCGGTCCAAAATGCTCTAATTTTGATTATTTATTATTTATTATTTATTGAACAACTACCTTAGATTTGTTAACAGATGACATATATTGCTACTACTGATGCCTTATGCAATAATTTCGTGTTTTCTCATGTCTCAAGAACTTTCGTGCATAGATTCCTTATCACTTCCTTAGTTAGAGCACGGGAACGTGCAAAACTGACCGTTGCCATGCAGTCCTATTGGAATGCCAACCTATGTTACGAACTACAACGAAATAGCGTTCATGGCGGAAATGTAAGGCGGACAAAACTCTTTTCTTAAATACAACGTTCATGGGGGTTAAAAGAAGTTGTTTTGCGCATGAAAATGAATCCTACAAACAATTAAGGGAGACGAGAAACCTCCGAGAAGAGTGTTAGTAATAACCTTCATTATAAATTCTTTGGGATCAGTGCTTGTTTTACACGCATATCTATGCCAGATAGTTTAAAAAATGCGTTAGGGCGAGGGAACAGGCTAAAAAACGAGAGGCTGTAGCAGATGGTAAAATCGCACATCTGACATAAATAGGTCGTTGCATGGCGACCAACAGGGCTAACGTTTAGCAATGGTCGTGACAAGCCCAGCGCTTCTGCCCGCCCTCTCGAATCGCGAGAGCGGCAGATCATGAGCTTGTGTAGCTCTACCCTACTCGCGGAAGGAACTGATAGATCTGGCCGTCATTGAATGTTGTCGAGCTTCGTTGTTGGATACTTGAGCCCAGAATGAGACACAAATGAGGATTGCTAGGCATGGAGTCTGGGCCCTGTTGGGATCTTTTCTGGGTGAATGTCTTCCCCTTGGCGCAGTGGCAGCGCTGTTGACACAATATTTGTCGAAATGCTAGCGATGGGGTGGTAGAGGAAGACGGGTTGCATTCATCATCGGGGAGAAGAGGCCGGTCGTATTGTCCACTTTCATCGACACGTGCACTGCCTGGGTCTCTATAATTGTATTGAAGATAAGTGGTACGATTGGCGTCCGAACGGAGTTGGTTGATACCTACTGAACAGAAGAAAGGTTCTCTGAGGGAGCGGGATGTGGCGCATTTCTGCTGCAAATATTGCGTCTTTAGCAACCTCACAAGATCTTTCTCACAGCTGTGGGTCCCCTTCACGGCTGCACACATCCACCAATAGACTACCTCGCTGCTGATCACCCGCCGTCGGACTATATCGTTTTGTCAGAGAAGAGAACAGATCCTTCCACATTGGTTGAAAACAGAGCACCAATTGGGCTAACCCAACGCTGAAATTAATGGAGAAAGCAAAGGTCGTGTTCTGTAGTTTTTTGCCATAGTTTTTCTTCAACTAGTTTCTTTTTCCAGTTTGCAAAATCAGAGATCGAAACAAAAACGCAACCGCTAAGAGAAGCTCAATGAGCGCCGAGAGAAGTCGCTATCGCCACACTAAAAAAAACTATGGATGAAAAAATTATTCGAGCATAATGAGAAGGAAGACAAATGTGTCCATCAAATAACAGGAATTCCAATTTTTAACATCAGCTGCCTGCACTCCAAGCACCGTCATTGCTAACTCATAACAGTATGAGCCTTTCAAAACACGAAAATTAGAAGAAAACAGTCTAGGCGAATCATCAGAGAACAGCAATCAATATCATCGTGGGAGCCATTGTATTTAACGGAAGGTCTCGTACAGACTCGAATAAAACTGCGCGGCTGGCTAGCTCCATGGGTATGAACGACCAGACCGTGAAGCTCAAAGCCTTGAGAAATTCAGTGATTTAGGGTTGTACAAATAGCAGTTTCTTCGTGGATTGAAAGGCAGGGAGCTAGGCGGTTCGAACTCTAAGAAAGTTCTTTTCCTGAAAGGATTCAGTAGCTCTCCCCGCGGCTTCTCTCTGATCGCATCGGCATTTCTTTCCACCATACCATAGCTGACCTCCAAAATTTCAGTGTTTCAGGGTTTTCTATGGTGCTTTTTTGGGCTTTTCCCCACTAATCGTTCCCACTTCTTGTGTAAAAATTTACCAAACAAACTCAAACAGAATACACACAGATCCCCCCAATTAAACCCGATTCCCAACTCGCTTCTTATGTCCAACAGAAATTATATTCGCACTTGAAGAGTGTTGTTTGGTCGTAAGATTGGTGACCGGTCATCACGTCTGATTTTTAATGTGACCAAATCGATAACATTAACTATACATAGGGTAAAATGATTGGTATGACTGAAAGTGTATTCAATGACTCAAGTAGCCTACTCGCTTCGCTTCTCTCACTCTTCGGTCATTTTGAACCTGCCTTTTTGAAAGTCTCTCTCCCGAGCAGCCGGATCCTCTCTTTTTCAGATCATAGTCACACTTTCGCATATGTTCATTTTGCAACTTGTAAGCTGAACACGGTCTCTTGACATTCAGCTGCAGCCCACCTTCTCCAGTACTTTCCGCATTCTGCATCTCTTGGCATGAAGTTCCTCTCTGCTATCCGCTACCAGCGGGAGCTGGTTCCGGTCTCTCAGGAACAGTTCGTGTTCATACCTGAAAAATTCGCAACGGATGCCATCTTCGTCGCCAGGTAAGTGATGGAAAAGTATAGAGAGAAGCGCCGACCCTGCAGTCGCTCTTCGTCACCGACCTGCGGGGCGTCGAATCCGTTACTCGGAGCAGTACTAGGAAAACTGCTCAAAGGAACTAACACGTGCCAAGCACCTTGATCTCGCATGTGAGGGACAATGTAGAAGGGGGGGGTTGCTTGCCAGAGCCGATCGTAGACGGCCATGGTGAGACCATCGAAAGAGTGGAGGACTTCCGCTACCTTGGGAGCGACCTGGCAGCCGACGGTGGCGTGGATCAGGCAGTGAAGGCTCGAGTCAACGCTGCATGGATGAAATGGAGGGAGTCCACTGGGAGTCCTCGCGATTTAACTAATAACGTTGACGACAACGCGCGTTTTTGGCTTCTTTGACCGCGTGGGACCGGCGCGATTTTGCGAGCGCCGCCGCCTCAGGTCCTTCAGGCGAATTTTGCATGGTAAATGAATAAAACATGATTGATACAAAGTTAGATTAGTCTTTTTCAGTGCGTAGAAGCGCCCCAGAGATATAGTAGTGAAAATTTGGTCGAAAGTCGGATGAAATAATAGTGAAAAAGCAAAATTTGTCAGAATCAGCTGCAATGAACGTCAAAAGCAATTTTGCGCCCCCCGGCCGGGCCCCTCCCCGGCGCCCGGCCCCGCGCGCGATTATTGCAATCCTAAACACATATCTTGTCATACTTGAGGTTCCGTATTGACTTACACTACCCTTTAAATATTCACATTCATGAAAAGAAAATGTAAACAAAAAATCAACTGGGTTGACGATTTCGTTCGGTTCAGAAAACCTCCCCTAATTTGAAGCACACGTGACCACTCTAAGAGCGACTATGTTTCTATCTATGTTAAGGTTTTCTCTATGGAATGAATACAAGAAGCCTAAAAATGAATCACGTGTGCGAGAAAAAAATGAATGCATTGGGTGCAGGACACATACGTCCCGCGTTGTCCGTTGTGGTCTGCAAAGTGCGGGACGTATGTGTCCTGCGCTGTCGTCAACGTGTTAAAGGTCTTCATGACACTCCAAAGGGAAGGTTACCGATAGTGGTGGCAGGCCTGCGATGCTATTACGAACAGCGAGTAGTTGGTCCTAACAGTAGAAACGAAACGACAGATCCAACTCGCAGAAATGAGGATGTTGAGAATGGGTACCCGCGGCTGGAGATCAGAAACGAGGACTATGGTCCATTGCAGACTGGCCCTGTAGCAGCTAAAGATGCTGAGAGCAGTGGCTTCCATGTAGAAGCAGTGCTAACGAAGCCACAGGATACCCTATAAAGAAAGTGGACTTCGAAGTGCAAAGGCAAGCAACTGCGAGGAACCCCAAAGAAGAGGTGGAGAGAAGTAATCAAGAGGACCTAAGTGATGTCATGGCCACAGCAGAGGGCGCTCTGGACAGATTAATGTGGTGACGACTTACATAGACAGCAGACCCTGCGGCTGCGCAGGACTAAACGGAGAAGAAGGAAGCTCGAAGACTTGCATGGCTGAAACAAATCCGCACTTGTATGCTGAACAACTCGTTGCATGAGTCGCGTGCGCGAAAAAGATGTCTCAATAGTGAATGGACTAGTCGCAGCCATACCCCCTCGAAATGAATCTCTATGTACACTGATTTGGGCGGAATTAGCAAGAGCCTCCTCCGTAAGTGTTCACATTACGGTTGTAGTGTCTCATCATTCCGGCATGATGTCAGTATGATCCCTCATTACCTGGTTTGGAAATTGAATTTGTTGGTACTCATCTTTCTCTACCTCTCGTGCCCTTTCAGCTCACATTCAGGGAGAACAACCGCTTCAAAGAGTCAGGTCTATATCCGTGTTGACGCATTATGCTAGCGCAATATCGTGATTTTGATAACACCCGCAACGGCTATTTTATACACCGGTCGAGCACACTCAGCCACATTCTGCATGCTGCTGCACTGGTAGCTGGAGGGAACGGGAGAACGAGATTGAGGGAAACCAGAGGCTCTTAAAGGCAGAATTTACGATGAAAAGTTAGCTCATTGGAAATAAGGGTAGAGGTGGTCAGTGGAGCAGGGATGAAGAAACCATTGAAACGGCCCGAAACCCGAGAAATGGCCCTTCCTTGCCCGTTGATTTGCGCATTGATGCGACTCTCATCGCTGTGCCCTCTTCAACACTACGCTCTCTCTGCTATCTAATCACTCGCCACGTATAGACCTGCGGCGAGTGATTAGATAGTCGGTGGGCGTACCCCGCCAACCGCGCCAAGAGTGAGCCATGCTAGATCGCCGAGGTCAAATCTTTCGCTGCCAATTGCGCGTCGGTCAGCACCCTCAGGAGGT